ACGAGACGGAACCAGAAACAGCCACTCCACATACAGAGAAATGGAACTGACCTAGACTTCTGTGCTGTGGGAAGGCGGTCTATTTCATATTCAGCTGTATGCAAACTAATCCTTCCTCGGATACCATTTTATAGCCATTTGGCTGTGAGGAATTTTTCAAAGGTCTGTTCATAGTAGGAGGAGGAGGCAGGAATAGAGATGATAAAATTGTTACGTTGTACTTTTTTCTACTCAAGCTTTTGATGATGGGAAATGTCAAGGGTAGACTCCCCTGAAGAGTCATCAGTTCATGGCCGGCCTGATCCGTTCTGCCCCAACTGCTTTCTCTACCCAGCATGCTTCTGTTTCTGTTGTTGCCCTTCATACCCTTTCAAACAAATTCCAGACACCGTTGACTACTGTCTCTAAAAGATAAGGTGTATTCCCCACCCCACCTCCCCTACACCCCCACTCTCACTCCTTGCTTTGGCCCCGGGAGTTTCCCATAGTCTGTATTGTGCTGATTAAGATTCCCTAGTGATGAAACAGTTCAGCGCTGGGCTGCAAGGCTCAAGGCTGGTGGTTCAGACCCACTGGACAGCACCGAAGAGCGCAAACCTGCCTGCTGGTCTCCTCCTGGAGAGAACCCAGCCCGTAGGAGGCCACAAGGAGGCCATTTCGCCCGCTCCACCACCTCACCTGGGAATTAGTAGTGGGATCTAGAGACCCCATCCAAAATCAGGCTTGATATTTTGTTGTTTGTGGTGGTGTGTGTTTCTTTGGTGATGGTGGGTGTTTCCATCAGGAGGGACCAGTGTCCGGTGTCCAGTTGAATGTCCTTTCGAATTCTCAGCAATCAGTGGTTGCTCCCTCCCTCCCTCTCTGCCATCCAGTTGATTCTGACTCATAGTGACCCTCTAGGACAGGACAGAACTGCCCTTGTGGGTTGCGTGGGCTCACTTTGTACTGGAGTAGAAAACTTCATCTTTCTCCCGCCGAGCGGCTGGTGATTTCTAACTGACCTTGCAGCTAGTAGCCCAATGTGTGCCACCTGACCCTAGGGACTATAAATACGGGGCTGTATTCTCACTGCTCCTGGGCGGTCCAAGCGTTGGGCTGCTAACAGCAAAAGATGGGTGGTTCACACCCACCAGCCACCCTGCAGGAGAATGGTGAGCCTGCCTGCTCCTGTGCAGGTTGACCGGTTCTCTGTGAGGCAGAGTGGACTCGGTGACAGTAGGGTTTTTTGTTTTTCTTCAGTTAGTAGTTGCTGTGCTTTTATAAAGAAAAATGCCCTCATGTGGACTACCTGCTTACCTTCTGTTTTAAGTATTGGGTTTTGTTAGTTTAAATTTTTATTGTAAATTAGGTGAGTGTGTACATTTCAGGTCATCATTTTTGTATTCAGCAACTTATCTAACCTTCCAAATAGTTACACACACACACACACACACACACACACACACACACACACACACACTCTCTCTCTCTCTCTCTCTCCCTCCGTCCCTCTTTTCTTTTCTTTTTTCCTTCCCCCTTCTCTCTCTCTTGTTTATTTGGTGAATTAGTTGGCCACATTCTCTTGGAGTGCCCCATTCGGAATATCGTTGCTGTTTGCGGGGATCAGCCTGCACTAAGGGGCTGTGAGTGGCAGGTAGTCACTGCTGTGGACGGAAACCCTTACTGCCTTTCAGTCCCTTTTGAGGCTCATGGCCTCCTTCCCCTTGGCCAGCTGGAGTGCTGCAGAGGTTTAAACCCTCTCGGGGGGTCCTCTGATGGCGTAGTGGGGTCTATGTTGGCCTTCTAACCACAAGGTTGGCAGTTCGAGCCCACTAGTTGCTTTTTGAGGGAGAAGCATGAGGCTTTGTGTTCCCGTAGAGATTTCCAGTCTCATGTGCCCACAGAGGCAGTTCCAATCTGTCCTGTAGGCCGCGAGGAGTCCCGGTCGACCCCCAGTAGGGCCTCTAGAGGAAGGCAGAAGATTTGAACTGTTGATAAACCTCCACCTAATTCCCGATTTTTTAAAAAGACATATGGTTAAAAAAAGACTTTAAAAAGGTTTAAATAGTATTTTGAGGGAAGGAACTGGTAAGAAAACCTCCTTTCTGAGATCTCTGACTTGGGACTGTTTGTTTTCATCCTAATAAAGTGACACTTCGCTCTCTCTCATGTGTCTCCTTCCCGGGGACTCAGATGACCCTGGACAAGCAATAGCAAGTAAGAGGAACTCGACGTCTCCTCATGCTGACCGGTGTAGAAGGGCAGTGCTGGGTTGAGTAGGGTTGTTTGTTAAGCTTAAGGCAACAGTGACAACTGCCATCAAGGCAGTCCTGCCTCTGGGTGATCCAGTGTGCTGTCAGAGAAGAACTATAGTGGTTGTTCTTTTTTCTGTTTCTTCTTAAATCTTACATAGTCTTCTGTGGTTGTCAAGAAGACACACAGCGAAAGCATGCCCCTTTCAGCCATCTCTACACATCCAATTTGGGGGTTGGATCCCAGGAGCGGCACAACCCTTCTCTCCCTCCTCTTCGCATGCACTCATTGCCCCTCAAGTTCCTGGGCATCCTTGGAGTAGCTGCTGTTTCCTGGGTTCCCCAGAGAGAGTTCTCAGTGCTGGAGGCAGCAGACCCTCTTTCTACGGGGATGCCAGGTGCTGTTCCCTTTTAAAAGGGGAGACTCTGGGTTAAGGCTTAAAGGTAATCCCAGGGCAGTAGTTTCAGGGTCTCCTGTGCCCTCGGCGGCTGCAGAAAGAAGAAACAAGGAGACTGTGAAATTTTGTTTGCAGAGCAGTGTCCTAATGCAAACGACGACCGGAGGTTTCTGAAACATAATTTGTTCTTCTCACCTGTGCACCTTTAACATTTTAAGATTGTACCTGGGTCACTCATTGGTTAAAGACCCAGGTGCCCTATGTTCACTTGGGGTTCCAGCTAGGGATGTGGAATAGCTGGGCAGTGCTCAACTTGGCTGTGAGTTGCCTGAGAACTCACACCCCCCAGTTAGCAGATGTCGGACATCCACCTCACAGTGGTCTCACGTTTTCTGATTAAATCCAGTGCTGAGGGTACATTTTAGCACTTCCAGAGCTGTAAATGGGAAACTTACATGGTGTGATGTAGTAGTGGTGCCAGAATGAATGTGGGGGGAATGTACGAAGTATCCCAAGTCCCTCAGCGTCCTTACCCCTGTCGTGGGACAGCTGGCTCTAATGGATGGACAAATCCTGCTGGGACTCTCTGTCCAGGCTGACTCCTGCTGCTGTAGATGGCACGTGATAGAGGAGAGCCACTTTTCTCCCCAGTTTCCCACCATCGCAACCAGAAACCTTCCAGAAACCCAAGTTCTAGCCTGGCCACGATGGGGCATGGGTACTTCAGTGATGGCCCTCGCTTGGATCCCCTTTCAGCCATGCCCTCGTTTGGTTTCTTCCTCGCACAGCAGTTTTGACTTGACCAGTAGGTAGGATATTTCAAAGCATGGTGCTCATGAACAAATCAGAAAGAAAAATACAGTAAACAGACTTGTATTGAAAAGTGGCAACGAAACATTAACTCCTACAAGTGAGTTCCCTCCCTTGTGCATGTTGGACATGGACATTGGTACTGTCCCTGTCATTCGTTCTCACTGCCACTGAGTTGAAGCCCAACTCATGGTGAGGCTGGACTATAAATAGGCCTGGCGGAAATGGGGTATACCCGAGGACAGGCCAGGAGGGGCCCTTGCATTGCTGTGGCAGTTTTGAGGATGTGGCAGAGGTAGGGCAGAGCTCCACATGATCTTTGAACATGGATCTGACTTTCATGGCCACTGCTGAGTCTCAGGAGACGGACTCGTGAATTGGGCCATTGAGCCAAATGCCACAAGACATGGAGTGTGTGCTGATAACGGTATGGTGAGAAGATAGGTAGGGCTGTTTAACATTTTCTCTGTGGAGTTTACAGAGCCCTGGTGATGCAGTGGTTAAGGTGCTTAATTGCTAACCATAGGTTGGTGATTAGAGCCCATCAAATGCGCTGATGAGGCAGATTGCTTTTGTAAAGATTCACAGCCTAGGAAACCCATGGCGGGGTGGGGGTGGGGGGGCAGTTCTGCTCCGTCCTGTGGGGTCACTGTGAATCAGAACAGACTTAGTGGTTCTGCATTTGGTTTGGGGGTTTGGGTCACATGGACGTGGCATTTGGAGGAGAGCCTCAGAAGTATGCAATTTATTCACAGTGGTAAACTCCAGTTCTAAGTTCTTAAAAAAACTGCATTGCTGGTTGGAT